GTATAATTACTTTATTGAAAATGTTTACAATATTTTCAAATTTAAACAATTTTTCCTTATTCTGTTTTGTTATCTTTTTGGAAATCGTGTAAATTTATTTGTTATTTATTTATAATCTGTATCGTAAAAATATCTTTGCATGCGTGTGTGTATCTGTGTTGATTTGTGTTTATTTCAAAATCATTTGTTTTAAAAGAAAAGAAATTTTTAAATATTTCAGTTTAGGTTCTTTTCATTTATTACGTCATTGTGTGGGTTGAATAATTTTCTTAAATTTTTTTAATTTTACGTTGGTATTAATGCAACTTTATAAGTAGACAAACAAAATATCTACAGATGAATTAATTTGGTTAAAATATGTATAGAATAGATACATTTATATAAATTTAATTTTGGAAATCAAATGTTGAAAAAAGCTAAAATAAAAGATACAAAATTGTTTAACATTATAATAAAAATATGTATTGTTTTAGAATTTTTGCATCATTAATTAAATATTTTTATTATTTTGAATTGAAACTAGAGCAAACATATTTGTATTGTTTTAAAAGTTTACTATTACTTCGAATATTTCAGATTTAGAATATAGGAAGAAGATATGTGTGTATTAGGGTTGGCAAAATTGTACAATTGTACCTACTTTTTTTTGGTACAATTCAATCTTTAATAGTACAATAGTATGCATACAAATGACCTATTTTTTACAATTTTAAATTGATTTCCTGATTGAAATATTCTAACACAAAGTTCAAAGGTATTTAAAGTGCATTTTTGCTAAACTATGGGTTAGTCTTATGACTTTTCTATGGTCTAGCATATTAAGGGCCAATCTTTAGGTGAAAGATTAGCGATTAAATTAAAATTAATCCTCGAAAGATGTTTTTGAGTACTCAATTAGTTAATTTTGTTTGCAAGTTTAAGCGCCCAATGGAGGTGGTTTAATCTTAAGCACGAAATGCAAAAGTGTAAACAGGTGATGCAAAAAAAAATTAATAAAATTTTTATAAATATAAACATTAAAATGTTCTATTTATTGATTAGTATAAATTATGGACACTTCAAAATACATTTCTTTGTTTTTAATTAAAGTTTTCATTAATTTTCATATTAAATTTACAATTGTCTTCTTCTTTTTTATAAAATATGCATTGTTTTGATAACAAACAGTGAAGTTTTCTGTTGTTTTGTATGGCAACACTGCGAAGTTTAATCTTGTACTCAAAAACATCAAAGGGGATTAACATAAGATTAAATTTATTTTTAGATTAACTAATCTGATTATTAATTGGCATTTGATTACCATCTCAAAAACCCGCTCTAACTAGTCTGTGAATTAGTCCATGGGCTATTCTATAGACCAGTCTATTGTGAAGTCTATAGACTAACCGATTGTTTAGCCTATAAACCAGTATATTGTCTAGTATTTTCTAGACTAGTATTTTCTTTTGTCTATTGACTAGTCTATGGGCTAGTATATTGACTAGTCTATAGACTAAATTAACGTATTTATTGATTACACTATTGACAAATTCATGGATTATTTTTGATTTATCAACTGACTAAGGGAGTCTGCTTAAAGTGGTTTTGTTTGCTATTGATACAAATTTGCCCAAAAATAAAGATTTGGTACAATTGGAATCAAAAAAAAGTAAAATTTTGAATGCTGTTCTAATTTAAAAATTTACTTTTGTGGTAAAAATTGACGAACTAGAAATGGGGGGCATGGGACTCACATATGAAATAAATACAAAAATTCGTACATATGGGTAACTTTTAGAGCTAGAATCCTCATTATGATTATTTGGGTACAAAATGGATTGACTGGCTATGGTGGGAGGTGCACGTACCATATAAAAAATATTAAACTAGTATATCTGAGATAATAAAACAGTATTATTTTGAATATTTAAGACAAAAATTGGGGGCGTGGCACATTCCATATGAATTAAATACAAAAAATCCTTTTGCACGAGCAACGTTGATATCCATTTGAACTTTTTCGTGAACAAGTTTGTTAACATTTGTGTAATAAATTGGCGGATAAGAAATAAGGGCCGTGGAAGCTTAACTACTAATGTTCGTATACATATCAGGGAAAGCGTTCGAGCTGAAATTATCAAATTTTGCACGAGCATTATTGAAAAACATACATATGAATATTTGGAAAAAATGGTGAATTTACAATAATGGGCGTTGCACCCTTGAGTAACCACGAGTATTCCAAAATGTGACAACACTAATAAACCAATTGTCATTTTCTAAAAACAGACACGTTACACATTCATTTTCACCACAGATTTTGTTTTTTTTTTATTTACAATTTGCATACGAAAATATAACCCCATTCAAATGCAAATAAATTTATTTTTAATAAAAACTATGTAAATTATACGAATACAAAACAAAATTGTTTTTGTTTAAAGAAAAATTGATGTATTTAGTACGAAAATAGCTTAGGACTACATAACTACTAACAACATAACGACTAAGCACACATCATCACTGCGATAGAATAAGTGAAAGTTCCGGGAGACATGGCCAATAATATAAAACGAGTTGTTTTGATAAGCGGCAAAAGAAAATGTGGCAAAGACTATTTATCAGAGAAATTACAAAAGCGGTAAGATGATGAAGTTGTGTTATAAAGATTTCATAATATTTTGTTAATATTTTAAAGCTTAGGTGAACGCAGTCAAATTATAAGAATTTCTGAACCTATAAAATCAGAATGGGCACGTAAAATGAATCTCGACTTGAAGGAACTATTAAGTGATGGTCCTTTAAAGGAAAAATATCGTAAAGATATGATAACATGGAGTGATGCGGTTAGAGCTAGAGAATATGGTTATTTTTGTAAGGTGGCCATGGAAAAAGGTAAGTTTATTAAAAAAAATTACTGAAGGTGTTTAATAAAGTTAATGTTTTTTAATTTAGCTCAAGCCGAAATCATCATTGTTAGCGATATAAGACGTAAAAATGATATAAAATATTTCCGCCAACATTATGGCAATAAAATTCTAACTATACGTTTAACTTGCCCCGAAATTATACGAGCCGAAAGAGGTTGGATTTATACAGTCGGCATCGATGATATAGAGTCGGAATGCGGTTTGGATGATTACGATTTGTGGGATTTAGTTATTGAAAACAATAATCAATTGGACGGCGATCAAGTTATTGATTTGATTGTAAATAAATTTGATTTTTAATATGCTTAACCGTTTTTTTTAGTTAGTTAATTGATGAATTTGTGTAAAAAGAAGTAGTAATAAGCGAAAGTAAATATATTTTGGACAACTTCTGATAAATGCAACTTTAAAAAAGACTTCATGCGAAAGAATTATTAACAACTAGATTGTAAACGAATAATAATTTCTATGCCAGATTGTCCAATAATTATATTAGTTTTTAAACAACAATCTGGCCACTCTATTTATACCACAAACCAGATGTTGCGTTAAAACACGAGTGATATTTTATTGTAAACAATTTCTAATTATTGTCAACTTAAATATAAAAACGAAAACACTAAGCTGTTTCAATGAGTTCCCGCAATCGTGGAAAGGGTAGGCGTGGAGGAGGTGGTGGTGGACATGGTCCCTATCGTAATGTAAAATCGAATCGTAACTGCGAACGTTCATTTGCCCAGAGAGAATGTGAGTTAGCTTCCGACACAGAGGATAGTTCTGGTTCAGAAAGTTCCTCATCTGTGGAAATTGAGGGTCACGGCAAAGCGCCAGATTTCCCAATAGCCATGTGGGATCTAAATCACTGTGATCCTAAAAAGTGTTCAGGTCGCAAACTATCAAGATTAGGCCTTATAGAGAACTTACGTTTGGGACAAAAATTTGCCGGCCTAGTATTAACTCCAGTCGGTGTTAGTTGTGTCAGTCCAGTGGATAAAGATATCGTGGCTAATTCTGGTGTAGCGGTTGTGGATTGTTCTTGGGCTAAATTGGATGAGACACCATTTTCTAGAATGCGTAGCCCTCATCCACGTTTGTTGCCATTTTTGGTCGCAGCCAATCCCATTAACTATGGCAAACCCTGTAAACTAAGTTGTGTAGAGGCAATTGCTGCTACCCTATTTATATGCGGCTTTCGTGAGGAAGCTAAATGGTATATGGGTAAATTTTCATGGGGTCATTCATTTTTGGAACTAAATGAGACATTGTTGGAACGTTATGCGGCCTGTAAGTCAAGTGAGGAAATCTTACAAGTTCAAAATTCCTATCTGGAAGAGGAACAGGGTGCAAGAAATAAACCTAAGGATTACAGTGAATTCTATCCCACCAGCAGCAGTAGTGAGGAAGAGGAGGAAAATGACGAGGTAGAAACTAAAGAAAAAACTACGTAACAGTTGACAATAATTAGTGTAAGTGTTTAAAAACAAATAAAGAAAATTTAAATAAAATTCCCACAAAAACTTAAAATATAGGGTCAATTACTTTTTCTTCTCAATAAAATTGAAATTAAAATACATATGTACATACAATGTAAGTAAATTATAGCTTACCCCAAAATTTTGAGAGACAGCAGAACAATTTCCAAGGACAATTTCCATCAAAGAAATGCGGAAAGACGAGTTTTAAAAACTCTTTTCGTTCCTATCTGTGGATGAATGTTTTTGGCGACTTGACTTGTTAAATTGATATCCAGAAATAACGGTAAAAGGTTTCTTGTGAATGATTGATATCAACTATTCAAATACGTGGTCATCAACTGCTCATGATCTTCTAAATAAGTTTGACATCAAAACAAGTTCCAGCAATGTTTCGTACACTTACTTCCATGTTCACGATTTCGGTTAACAAAAATGATGATCACTAATTTAAATGAATACTAAAATTTTTATTACCATTTACAAGATTGTTGAAAATGTTGTTTCATTAAAAAACTATGTACGTTTACTGTTAGTTATTCTTTTTAAATGTTCTACTATAAGAAGAAAATAAACTTATGTGTAATAAATTGTATTCTTTTTTTTATAAAACTAATAATTGATAGCTAAATTTTTTATTATGAGAAAATTATTTGTAATTATTAGATTTCAAAAAAAAAGAAGATAAAAACAATACCAACATCCTTCATTCTTTTTAAAAAAGAAAACTCTTAAAATAAACTTCGAAATAATGAAAACACTAGAAAAAGAAAAAAACTATGTGTAAATAATAAAGCGTTTGAATAATAAAAACGTAAGTGAATTAATGAGAAATAAAATCAATTAAAATCATTGAGTATGACGATGATATTCCGGTGTAACATTAACAAAACTGGACATGCTAAAGAATGTAGCACTGTTTTTAACCATAAACTTGAGAAAATCATGCAAATGCACTAACAGCATTTGCATTGATTTCTCATCCAAGGCTGAATAGCCCAACATTGAGCCAAGTTTAACGAATAAACGCAGCAAATGAAAAGAACCATATAGTTTCGACAGCGGAGTATCTGGATATTGTTGCAAAATCTCGGCATATTGAGGACGTTCAAACTTGTAGAGAAGTTGTGAGCCCAACATAACATTGAAATATTCTATAACACCATTTAATACATCTGATATAGCCAGCTCTTTACATGCATTCGAAGATTTGGCTGACTTTTTCAAATTTATATACTGATCAACTATATCTTGTACTGTTATCTTAGCAGGTATATCTAAAAGTTTGTGCTGACGCGTTATGGCATCCCAATCATCGGCTAAACATTGTTTCAGTTCATCGGGTATTTTAATTTTTACCTCTATTTTAGCCAAAAATGTTTCCTCGCTTTCAACACACGAATCCAAACGATTTACAGATGAAGGTGTGGAAGCAGCTGAAGCTGAATTTGCAGCACTTACTGTTGTTGTGGCTGTAGTAGTAGCAGCAGTTGTTGCTGTTGTGTTTGTAGTCACGTTAGTGGCTGCTGTGCTACTTGTGTTAGAAGATTTTGCCTCTACTGTTGTTGTGTTAGCTGTCTTATCGGGATTGGTTGATGTGGAAGTTCCTCGTTTCTTTTTAGTGGCTGGTTCATCTTTATCGTCTTTTGTTGTTGTATCCTCCTTAGCTGTGTTATCTTTCTTCGTTTCTGTGGAATGCACGGGTGTAGCATTCTGTTTAGAACGATTTCCTCGGCCACCACCAGTAGCAGTGGCCGCACCTGTAGCTGCTGCAGCACTTGCTGACGTATTTAATTCTTTTGAAGGCGTAGATGCTCTTGACTCACTACCACCACTACTAACCGCCCCACTTTCTTTAGGAGCTGCCGCCATTGTATCTCCTTTTTTGCCTTTGGGAGTACCTAGAAGTTTTATGCGGTTTTTACATTATTATTATGTTTTTTTTTCTGATTGGCGAGTTATTCTTAGATGTGTTGGTCCTTCATTAGTTGGATATAGTAGTCGATTTGTTAATGTAATGTACGTTTTTCTATTTGTAAAATTTTGTGTCTTTCTTCGGAGGTTTCCAATAACCCCATGGCGATTTCTTCAGATGTGTTTAACTTTCTAAATACTATTAGGAGACAACCAAAACCGTTTTCCCTCTTACCTCCCACTTCATTCGATATCACATCGATGATTACTCTAATTCTATTCTACCCTGACCCATTATTACTAAAGAGACTCATAATACTTTTCCATTTACACCATTTATCTAGAAATTATCTGTTCTTTGCAGGATTTTGTTCAATACGTTTCACTTTTACTTGATGTTTTTAAACATTATAAATGGTTATTACTTTTAAACAATATTTTTATGAATTACGACCTTCAAATGTTTTCCTAGATAAATCGAAAACAGGACAAAGTTTGCGATAAAATCTATATATCTAATACTCAGAAAATTTTGTAATTTTACCGTTCCTGAAGCAATCAATGGTTACAGATTTAATCTGTAGTTTAAATTGACGTCCAATCGAGGATAAAGCAAAAATCTGTTAATTAGCAGTACTATCTTATACTGACGCCCAATCGAAAACTTTTCGGATCACTTATATTTTGTATGAATTGTACATTTTACGAGGAAAACTACTTGACTTCAGTTCCCCTAATTAACGGCCAAGAAAATAACTAAAATTCTAAACTATTCGATCTTTTCCAAAGTAAATCAAAAAAATTATAAGTAGCTCAGTCATTTGCCACATAAACACTCATACAAAAACACTTACCTTTCTTATTTTTCTCCTTTTTGGCATCGTGTTCCTTTTGCAATTCCTTTTGTCGCTGCAAATTAGTTTCATTATATTTCAAAACTCGATGTTCCGGTACCCATTCATCCCAACTGTAAAGACAAAAATATTAGCATTTTAATAAGTATCTCTACGGCTAACTGCCATACTCACTTTTTATTCCAACCGGCATAGTGTACAAAATATTTCAATTGTTTATCCTTGGTGGTGGTACTTTTTAATGCTTTCGCCTCATAGATCAGCGGACCATGGAAACATAATACTTTTTCGCCTGTAATAAACAATTTAAAATTATTTCTGAATGTTTAGGCAGAATTCTGCTCTAGGTGGCCAACATTTTTCTGGGCAAAACGCTTCCACAATAATGGCGCACTTTCTTACCTTCGGCGAATTTATATTTGGGTTGCATTTCTGTTGTCGACGTTATTTTGGCGGCTTTTTATAATTTCGTTAAAGAAAAGTGTGAATTTCCTCAATTAATTTGTATATTTTTTGTTTTTGACAAATTTTGTAAATAAACACAAACTTTTTCTTTGGATTTTGTGTTATTCTTGTATAGTTGTTGTTGCATTCGTTAAAATCACACAGCTGTGTGTAGCAGATGCCTGCGTCGACAAACATTAACGTCGTTGGCGTATAACACTAAAAATTTCGAAGGCGGCAAGCCGACTAAGTTTTCAGCAGATGTAAAATTTTTCAACGATTTTAAATAATGGCGAAATCCAAGTGTTAAAAAATAGGTATTTTGAAAATTGTCATATATATAATCAGCATTTATATATGAAAATTTTTCTGCTGCCTAGTATATTTTAATAATTTGGTATTTTAATAGCTAAAATCATATTTTATATCTTACAGGAATCGCAAGTTACGATTATAGAAAAATTTTGACGGAAAAAATCATACTTAAGAAACATGATTTGGCCATAAGAACTATATCAATGGTATCCTTGTAAAGTGTTATATCGTTTTATACATTGATTTTTATTTTTTATTAATTTTTATAAAAAAGCTCAATGATAAAAAAGTTTTTTCTTCGTAAGCGCAGCAGAACTTTTCTTAATTTTGGAAAAAAGAAAACCTGCTTAAATTTTAAAAAATATGTATTGTAAAATTCCATTAATTATAAATAAGAAATATTTTAGGCGTCGGCGGCTTTAAAATTGCTTGGGCGGCTAGGCTTAGTCTGCTCGATCTCTGTTGTGTAGCTTCGTTAAATTATTAAACGAAAGTAATTAGACATATTGCCAGATAAAAAAAAACATGAATGCCTGTTCGTAATTTTAAAAATCGACTTTCAAATAATCGACCAAATTTTATTCGATTAATCGAATAAATAAAATAATAATAATAATAATAAACTACTGAATAGAAGCCTAATTGAGAAAATAACAAAAACCTTCGATCAATAAATCGATAAAATCAATATCTGTGATCACTTCGATTAACTATCAAAAAAGTTATACCATGAGTTCTACTAAAAATTAATAAAAACTAATATAGAAATTTCTTTTATCTAAATAAATTTATTTACAATATAAAGTTATCATTTTTTCATAACGTTAACATTAAGTTTAACTAAAATAAAACTATAATAAACTTATATGACTGATTACTACTTGTTGGTATTGAAATTTTCCTCCCATGGCCTGGGTCCTCTTTTATTTTCCCAGTCATCTAAATTTAAAGTTTTCACTTTTTCATAAATCTTATCTATGGTGACCTCTTCAGGTTTTTTCATAGGAATACCAAGTTCTTCCATTTCATCAGGCGTTACGGTTTGTTGTTTAGAAAACTGATATCTATGGGAAGGAGAGATTATTAAACGTTTCGACACTTTACGGAAATTTGTGAAACAAACCTGATGCGACTGAATTCTTGCAGACCAAAGGATCCGCCAACCATAAGTATTAAAAATGGTATACCATATTTAAAATTCTTATTACGTTTTAATTTATTAAATTTTTGTGCAAACGACATTTTTTCCATATTTTTATTTTTTAATTAAGTTTAATGTTGTGTTTACATAAACCCAGAGGGCAGCCAGCTGTCAGAGCCCTGCTCCGACAAATATTAACGGCGGCGGCGACTGACACTAAATATGTCGGCGGCGGCTTAAAATCGACTGTAAGCCGGCTAAGTTTTCAACAACGTTTAGTTTTTAAATTTTCAACGATTTTAAATAAAAACGGAATCAGAGAGATCAGAAAGTGGGATTTTGGAAGCAAATATATTGTTTATAGCAACAAAACAGATCAAGCTCAAAAGTTGTGTGAGAAATTATGCAGGGGTGAATAAAAAAATTCTTAAAAATTAAAAACAAATCCTTTCTCCAAGTTTTACGAGGATCTGCCGATATTTAACCCTATCCTCCATATAAAACGTAAAAACAAAGATATTTTATTTGTTTATTTACTTGTGCTGTGCTACCCTAAAAGCAATATAAATAAGAAATCCAGTTAACGATTTTGATGATTCTAACTACAATGGTTTTCCAGATATACAATTTGTTGCATATGGGAGATTCCACGCAAATTATTGCAATTTCTCTAAATGTTCTTCAGTAAAATTTGAAGATTCTAGCTCTAATAGTTTCTCAGATATACGAATTTCTCTATTTAATTCATATGGGAGCTCCAAGCCCCCCAGATGAAAGTCCGCCCTTTTTTCTCCAAAATGTTCAGATGAATATTAAAGTTCTTCGTGCAAAATTTGAAGAATTTAGTTATATTAGTTTCCCAGATAAACGAATTTTTGTATTTAATTTATATGGGAGGTTCCGCTCCCCTCATTGGTAGTCCCCCAGTTTATTAGCCAAAATGTTTACATGGATGTTAAAGTTCTTCCAGAACAACATCATTTAAAGGGATCACAAAGAGATTGAAAAATATTCCAAAGGTTTCACTTTGAAAACATTATTAGAGTGTATGAAAACTCGCAACTCTAAAGGCAGAGTATTCCTATTTTAGCGGTAATTTCTTTATGATTAAAATAAGTAAGGAGAAGTGTTATATTCGGCAAATCATTTGTCGTAAAAAAGCAAACTTCGGAAGTGGTCATATACATATATATATGGACTTTGATCATTAGATTAATAAGAACGTCACCGTGATTTTCGGATTAGAGACTTAAATGTGGAATTGGGTCAATTATGGACAAAGTTCTCTATAATTTAAAGTATTTTTTTTAATTCTACCATAAATCTATCATAATGATAACTTTTGGAATGATGTATTAGCTATAAACTGATTTTCTGTAAGAGGGTTATATTGGAGGACCGATCCTCAAAATTTTATTTTTCATAAATGTAGGTTTCGGTTCCTAAAAATGTTTTTTCTTCGACATCGACATTTGAAAGCCATTTATGTGCGTTTAAGTCATTTTCTGAAGAAGATTTCATATACATATTTACATTACATATTTTCGTTCCAACAAAAATTGTTTTATTATGGTACTAGCTTATTACCCGCTACTTTGTTAGCGAGGGTTTTTATAGAATGAGAAATATGTTGGCTCTTCATTTAGCAAGGAAAAAATAATATGTATTACAAAGATTACAAATTTTTAAATATTGGTAATTCCCTAATTTGAAGAAATGATGATTGTATATGTGTACTCAATTTTAAGTACTTAAAAGTCCACTTTTATAGATTCTCATTTACGCCGTGCTCTATATGCTTAATTTCATGTTTTTAGGTTGAATTTTATAGAAAACTCAAAAAATACCAATCGAAGGACGAAAAAGTGCCAAAAAGTTCACTTTTATAGATTCTCATTAACTAAGGCCTCTGCATGCTTAATTTCATGTTTCTAGGTTTAATTTTATGGAAAACTCAAAAAGTACCAGTCGAAGTACGATAAAGTACCAAAAAGTCCCCTTTTATAGATTCTAATTTACTCCAGGCTCTACATGCTTAATTTTATGTTTCTAGGTTAAATTTTATAAAAAACTGAAAAAAGTACCAGTCGAAGAATGAAAAAGTACAAAAAAGTCTCCTTTTATAGATTCTTATTTACTCCGGGCTCTACATGCTTAATTTCATGTTTCTATGTTCAATTTTATAGAAAAATCAAAAAGTACCAATCGAAGAACAAAAAAGTACCAAAAAGGTCCTCTTTTATAGTTTCCAATTTACTCCGGGCTCTATATGCTTAATTTCATGTTTCTAGGTTCAATTTTATAGAAAAATCAAAAAGTTCCAGTCGAAGAACGAAAAAGTATCAAAAAGTCCCCTTATATATTCCCATTAACTAAGGGCTCTGCATGCTTAATTTCATGTTTCTAGGTTAAATTTTATAGAAAAATCAAAAAGTACCAGTTGAAGAACGAAAAAGTACCAAAAAGTCCCCTTATATATTCCCATTAACTAAGGGCTCTGCATGCTTAATTTCATGTTTCTAGGTTTAATTTGATAGAAAACTCAAAAAGTACCAGTCGAAGGACGAAAAAGTACCAAAAAGTCCCCTATTATAGATTCTCATTCACTCTGGGCTCTACATGCTTAAATTCATGTTTCTAGGTTAAATTTTATAGAAAACTCAAAAAGTACCAGTCGAAAGACGAAAAAGTTCCAAAAAGTCCCCTTTTATAGATTCTCATTTACTAAGGGCTCTACATGCTTAATTTCATGTTTCTAGGTTAAATTTTATAGAAAACTCAAAAAGTACCAGTTGAAGGATGAAAAAGTACCAAAAAGTCCCCTTTTATAGATTCTCATTTACTAAGGGCTCTACATGCTTAATTTCATATTTCTAGGTTAATTTTTATAGAAAACTCAAAAAGTACCAGTGGAAGGACGAAAAAGTATCAAAAAGTCCCCTTTTATAGATTCTCATTTACTAAGGGCTCTACATGCTTAATTTTATGTTTCTAGGTTAAATTTTATAGAAAACTCAAAAAGTACCAGTCGAAAGACGAAAAAGTCCCCTTTTATAGATTCTCATTTACTAAGGGCTCTACATGCTTAATTTCATGTTTCTAGGTTAAATTTTATAGAAAACTCAAAAAGTACCAGTCGAAGGACGAAAAAGTACAAAAAAGTCCCCTATTATAGATTCTCATTTACTCTGGGCTCTACATGCTTAATTTCATGTTTGTAGGTTAAATTTTATAGAAAACTCAAAAAGTACCAGTCGAAGGACGAAAAAGTACCAAAAAGTCCCCTATTATAGATACTCATTTACTCCGGGCTCTACATGCTTAAATTCATGTTTCTAGGTTAAATTTTATAGAAAACTCAAAAAGTACCAGTCGAAAGACGAAAATGTTCCAAAAAGTCCCCTTTTATAGATTCTCATTTACTACGGGCTACATGCTTAATTTCATGTTTCTAGGTTAAATTTTATAGAAAACTCAAAAAGTATCGGTCGAAAGACGAAAAAGTACCAAAAAGTCCCCTTTTATAGATTCTCATTTACTAAGGGCTCTACATGCTTAATTTCATATTTCTAGGTTAAATTTTATAGAAAACTCAAAAAGTACCAGTCGAAGGATGAAAAAGTACCAAAAAGTCCCCTTTTATAGATTCTCATTTACTAAGGGCTCTACATGCTTAATTTCATGTTTCTAGGTTAAATTTTATAGAAAACTCAAAAAGTACCAGTCGAAAGACGAAAAAGTTCCAAAAAGTCCCCTTTTATAGATTCTCATTTACTCCGGGCTCTACATGCTTAATTTCATGTTTCTAGGTTAAATTTTATAGAAAACTCAAAAAGTACCAGTCGAAAGACGAAAAAGTTCCAAAAAGTCCCCTTTTATAGATTCTCATTTACTCCGGGCTCTACATGCTTAATTTCATGTTTCTAGGTTAAATTTTATAGAAAACTCACAAAGTATCAGTCGAAAGACGAAAAAGTATCAAAAAGTCCCCTTATATATTCCCATTAACTAAGGGCTCTGCATGCTTAATTTCATGTTTCTAGGTTAAATTTTATAGAAAAATCAAAAAGTACCAGTCGAAGAACGAAAAAGTACCAAAAAGTCCCCTTATATATTCCCATTAACTAAGGGCTCTGCATGCTTAATTTCATGTTTCTAGGTTTAATTTGATAGAAAACTCAAAAAGTACCAGTCGAAGGACGAAAAAGTACCAAAAAGTCCCCTATTATAGATTCTCATTCACTCTGGGCTCTACATGCTTAAATTCATGTTTCTAGGTTAAATTTTATAGAAAACTCAAAAAGTACCAGTCGAAAGACGAAAAAGTTCCAAAAAGTCCCCTTTTATAGATTCTCATTTACTAAGGGCTCTACATGCTTAATTTCATGTTTCTAGGTTAAATTTTATAGAAAACTCAAAAAGTACCAGTTGAAGGATGAAAAAGTACCAAAAAGTCCCCTTTTATAGATTCTCATTTACTAAGGGCTCTACATGCTTAATTTCATATTTCTAGGTTAATTTTTATAGAAAACTCAAAAAGTACCAGTGGAAGGACGAAAAAGTATCAAAAAGTCCCCTTTTATAGATTCTCATTTACTAAGGGCTCTACATGCTTAATTTTATGTTTCTAGGTTAAATTTTATAGAAAACTCAAAAAGTACCAGTCGAAAGACGAAAAAGTCCCCTTTTATAGATTCTCATTTACTAAGGGCTCTACATGCTTAATTTCATGTTTCTAGGTTAAATTTTATAGAAAACTCAAAAAGTACCAGTCGAAGGACGAAAAAGTACAAAAAAGTCCCCTATTATAGATTCTCATTTACTCTGGGCTCTACATGCTTAATTTCATGTTTGTAGGTTAAATTTTATAGAAAACTCAAAAAGTACCAGTCGAAGGACGAAAAAGTACCAAAAAGTCCCCTATTATAGATACTCATTTACTCCGGGCTCTACATGCTTAAATTCATGTTTCTAGGTTAAATTTTATAGAAAACTCAAAAAGTACCAGTCGAAAGACGAAAATGTTCCAAAAAGTCCCCTTTTATAGATTCTCATTTACTCCGGGCTACATGCTTAATTTCATGTTTCTAGGTTAAATTTTATAGAAAACTCAAAAAGTATCGGTCGAAAGACGAAAAAGTACCAAAAAGTCCCCTTTTATAGATTCTCATTTACTAAGGGCTCTACATGCTTAATTTCATA